GTAACACTTCAGCCAGGTAGTCCTGCCATGCTTTTGGTGAACTGCGTAGTCCCTACATGGCTTTCTTTAGTCGCCAGATTTTGTCCTGTTGTGGACAAAGTTCTTTAGGTGGCCAAAGGTAGACGTCACGTTGTTTACCGTCGTGGTCTTTTGCGATGGGTGCGTGTAGAAATGCTGTAGAGACGTCACCTAGTCGCGCGATCCAGTTTGGTCGTGACATTTGTAGTGCGAGAAGTGTCCGGAGTGTCGTGAACATTGGTGTAGAGGCGTAGACGGAGTCTTCGTCCTCGATCTTCTCGGTGTAGCCTTTGCGACGATTCGGCTTCGTACTCCTGGTCCTTTCTTTCTGTGTACCCATCTTGTAGGCATCGCTTCTCTGATGACGTTGTCGTCGACGGTAGACGCATCTACTTCGTCGTAGACGTCGTGTAGTTTCATTTGGTTTGACTCGTGTTTCATTCCTTCCAGTAGTTGTGTTTCGTCGTAACCTTCGTTGTCGAAGATTATGGGTTGGTCTTCTGAGGTGTCGTCGGTTGTGTAGGGAGTGATGGATTTTCCGTTGGGAAGTGTCACTGCGTTGATTTTCTGTCGTAGTGGTGGTGGTTCTTTGGTTGCTTGCTCCGTTGATCTGATTGTAGTGTCCTTTGAGGTCTTCTGTGCTTTAGTGGGTTGCATTACTTCTTCCGGAGTTAAACGTCGTAGTGTTTGTCGAGGTGGTGCGGGTAGTGGTGGATGTTGTCGTCCGGTTGGTGAAGTAGCCATCGGACTATCCGGTAGTGGTCGTGAACTTGACGTCGATGTTGACGGAAGTCGTGGAGGTGGTGTAGTGCGTTGTTGTTTTGTTGCGGGTTCCGCAACGATGTCGTCAGTAGCGTTCGTTTGTTGTCCGAAATCTTGCGTGGACCTTCTTTTCTCTGACGGTTGTAGTTGCGTATCCAACAGTGTTGCGAACGATGGGTTGTAGGTGTTCCGTCGTGGTGCCCATGGTGTGCCGGAGACTTTGTTCAACAGTGCGAGGTCGTATTTGAAGTCCGGTTGTAGTCTCCGTACTGTTCGTACCTTTTGTACGCCTGACTCCGTTGCGACGTAGTTTTCTCCGGTTTCGGAAACTTTTCCGAGCCAGATGCATTTCTGCATCCGTAGGTCTGCTTTTGGGAGTTTCTTGTGTTGTGGTGGAAGGTAGAGTAGTGTCTCGCCAAATTCGCAGATTGCTCGCTCGTAGTTTCTTCCCCAGCGGCGTTCAAAGCTTGTGTAGCCGTCTGAGTGAATGACGTAGCGATTACCGTCCATGCTGCATGTCGTACTATCCAAGGTAGTAGACAGTGCTTTGTGGACATCGTCATGCTGTAGTTGCTTTCAACCTGAGCTTTGACGACGCGGATTTGTCCGAGAAGTGTTCTATGTAGTCGCTCAACGCTTCCTTGACTGCTGCTGTAGGAAGGTGAATGTCGCACACTCATTGTGCCGACTTTTGCTGCTGTAGCTTTTAGAAGTGCGTTGAGTGTGTCTTCGTTGTCGCTTTGTAGTATGCCTTGTGTTCTTCCGCACTCAAAGATGAATGCTTGTAGGTTGTTGACCATGTAGTCCATCATTGGTGATTTGTCTGGAACCAATACTGCCATACACAGTTGTGTAGTAACATCAACTGCTGTCAGTACCGGTGTGGTCTTTGGGTCTTGTTGTGACTTGATGTAGGCAAAGTCTACTTGAATGACAGGTTGTCGTGATTGTTGTTTCTTGTAGTTGTCTTGGCGTCCTTTGCCTTGAACGCAAATTTGGACACCAGTTTCTGTATGGTAGATGTGTAAGGTTGTGTTCTGCTATTTGTTGTGGAGTGGGCTGCTGTGGTTGTCGTAGTCCTCTTGCTCTGTGTGCTTCATGATGCTCGTGTTGTTGTTCTTCATCGTGGTTCTCCTGGATGTACTCGTAGTCTTTCTTCACGGTGAACCTTGTTGTTCCGTTCCATTGAAATGGTAGTGCTGCGTTGCCCATGACTGTCCAGTCATCTTTGCGTTGTGAAACTTCTCCAAAGTTGTTGTGAGTGATTGTAGTTCTGTGAGGTTCAAGTGTGTTGATTGGTGGATGTCCTGGTCCATCTGTTGGAGTGAAGAGAGTTGTTCTAAGCGTTGTGTGGTGTCGTATCCAGTGTTCACCTTGTCTTTCCCAGTAGTCTCGGTTGTCCTCCTGTGCTGTGAGTGGTCTGTGTATTGTCTCCTTTGGTTGTGTGGTGTCAAGGTTTGTTGAAGGTGCTGCTTTGGGTCTCCATATCTTTTGTGGTGCTCGTAGTTGGATCTTTGATCTGGTTGGTGGTGTGTCCATTAGCCGTTGTGGTTGTGAGCTCTGCCTTGTTGGTGTGGTCTTTGATGTTGCCCCTCGTTTTTTTGGAAAGTTGTGTTGGGTTCTCTTGTAGTTGTTCTTGCTCTTGCCCTTGTCTGTTGATGATGGTTAGTCGCCAATCATCTAGTTCTCCTTCTGGTATTGGGCAGCCACTGTTGTGTGGTGTGATGCTTTGCGTGGTCGTTTGTGTACTCTGATGGCGTAGTCACCGTCAAGTTTCCAGTAGTCAGTGTTTCCACCAAGGATCTGTCGTAGTCCTTGGTCTGTGTGTGTGAGTGGTGCGATTTGTTCTTGTTGTTGTGCTGCTCTCTCTGTAGGTTGAATCACAGCAATGGATTGTCCATTGTCTGTAGTCATTGGGTAGATGTCGAATCCTGTAGGAATGTCGATCTTCTCTGCTCGTAGGTAGAAAAGTCCTGAGTGTCTTATGAGGTGTGCTTGTTGTTGTCCATGTGTGATGGTGCAGTGTCGTGGAGTGAAGTCAAGTCCATATCCTCTATCAAGTAGTCTTGATGCGCTGAGGATTGGATACTTCACATCACAAACGTAGTAGGGTATCATGATCCTGAAGTTGTTCTGCTTGTAGGGAACGTACTTGATGCCGTAGACTGGAATCTTCTTGTTGGTAACCGTGTAGAGTTGTGGAACTGATTCTCCACAAGGTCGTAGTGGAAGATCCGGTGCGTAGTCCTTTGGGCAAACATGTGTAGATGCTCCTGAGTCGATCAACAGGTGGTGGTATGACTTGAAGTTGGAGTACATGATGTAGTGGGTGATAGTGTCCTCAATCTTCTTGTTCCTTTGTTGTTGTCTAGCTGCTGCTATGTCGAAGTGTAGCTTTGTGGTGTCTTCTTGTAGGAATTGTTGAAAGCTCTTGCTGTGGTCGTTCCATGATGTTGTGTGTGTTGTTCTCTTGCCAAGTAGTGATTTGGATTTGTGCTTGTGTAGTCGTGATTTTGCTTGTCTGATGTGTCCAATGGTGAGGTGTGACTCGTTGATGCCTCCAATGCAGTTTGCTGTGTCCTCATAGCTGTTGTCATTCCAATCCCAGCTGTTGTCATAGTCGTAGTCGTTCCAGTTCTCCTCCATGTAGTTCACCTCATGTTGTCCTTCTTCTCCTTCGTAGTACCAGTCCCAAGTGTCGTTCACATCCTGAGGTAGTTCATCATTGTTGTCGTGATCTGCTTGTTCTTGTTCTAGTGGATGTAGTTCTTCTCCTTCTCCTATGTGCCATACCGGCACTCTGCAGTCTTGTGCCCAGTGGCCGGGCTTGCCACATCGATGGCAGGTTGTGTAGTTGTTGCTTCCTTTTCCTTTTGATTTGCTGTAGTTTCCTTGGCCTTTGTAGCCTTTGCTTGATCCATATCCTTTGGATTCTGAGTAGCCTTTTCCTTTGCTCTTGTTGTATCCTCCTTTGTTGTAGTTTCCTTTGCTGCCTTTGTCGAATCCTTTGTAGTGTCCTTTACTCCTGTACTTGACTTTGCTCTTGCTTCCTTTGTAGCCGCCTTTTCCTTTTCCTTTGCCTTTGTAGCTTCTTCCTTTCCTCCATATGTTGTCAACATCCATTGGTGCAGTTCCTCCATTGTAGTTTGTTCCTACTGCTGAAGTAGATCTAGTGAAGGCTGAAATCATTTTGTAGTAGTCCAGGATGAGTGCTCTGATCTCGATGTAGTTCGTGATCTGTCCAGCTCGCAGTTGGAGGTGTTGCTGCAGTGCCCTTTGGTTTTGTTGAGTAGTATTGCTATTTTGATTCCATCTGGTAGTGCTGTTCCATTGTCTTTCTCGTAGCGGTTGATGTCGTATTCCCATTGTAGAAATTGTTCTTCAAACTGCGCTTCGTTGAATGTGGGTTCCAGTAGTTTGGTAAGGTAACCAACGCTCCTTGGTCCTACTGGTAGGCTGAACCTGTTGTGCAGTAGTCGTAGTGTTTCACATCCGTTTGCGTTGTAGCGGTTTTGCCTTACTACTGTAGCTGCTGCTCCCTGACAGATGTTGATGAGGATGTAGTGTAGATCTCTGGAGAGGTCTACTGCTTTGCTTGCTTGTGTAGGGTCGAGTATGTGTGTTCTGATGTCTGTGTCCTCAATCTGTCGTTTAGCCACTTGTGCTAGTTGTAGCACCAGGTCGAAGTCTCGGTCTATGAGGCCGAGGTATGCTTGTAGCTTGAACAGCCATTCTTCATACTGGGAGTAGTCACCAGTGAAGAAGGGTGGTGGCAGTTTGTATCTATGTCGTCTCTGAACGTCGTTGTCTTGTTCTGTTCCTGCTCCCGTAGTCGTGGCTCCTACTGTGTCTGCTGTTGGCCCGTTCTCTGCTCCTGTAGTTTGTTGTGCTGAGGCTGATGCTGCTTCTCCTGACATGTCGTAGTAGTTTGGCATGTAGCTGCTGTTGCTCTGTTGTTGTAGTACTTACTGCTTACTGGAGCTCCCCTCTGTTTAGGATCTCAGCTCCGCTACCACGTTAAAATCGGTTGTTACTTTGCTTACAAGTGCAAGTGCTGTAGTGTTCAAACAAACAGTCAACCAATGTAGTCTGCAGCTGCCAACCTTTTGACTCATGCGGAGTAGTAAGCTCAAGGCCTGCGGTAGTGAACATACATGCAACAAGAGTGCAAAGTGAAGCATGTAGTTTGACATCTCTCTCTCTCTCTCTCACATCGCCGCCTGGTCTGTGATGGGCATATCCAGTTTTTGGCAACCCAAACCTCCGACAGCGTTCCAGCCGTTGTAGACCGTCTCTCCGCTGAC